GTGGCTTCATTGGCTACAAAGTATCTGAGGATGAATTTAATCTAAGGCGATCTTAAATATAAAACCTGATTTGTACTTTGAAGCGAAAACATTCATATTGTTGAAAGAAGATTACCGTACATTTGACTCAAATATAGAGTTATTCAAAATGAGATATTCATCTTTTTGATATAATTTTTTTCAAATATTCCAACAAGATTTATTATTTTCAGAATAATAGAATTATTTTCAAAGTAACCATATTATCTGTAGTGGACTATCGTAATTTTGAAACAACATTATAATATTGTTGAAATTCAAAAATATTAAATTTTTGTAAGAAGATAACATATTCTTGCTTATATATGAAATAATGATTGCGTCTATTAGAATATATAAGTCTTGAATTGATACTTAATTTTTTTCCGTGTATCTTTCCAATTCTTACTAGCCTATTTTTCTTCCTATCGTTAAAGCCTTCAATAATTATCTTCGTTTAAGATCTTGTTTTGTATTGCAGAAAATTAGATATTCATTTGTCATATAATATAAGAACGAATTATAATTTAATTTTAATAAGCCGTTCTCCACGAACGAATATGTAATTATTTTCCAATAATGATGGATTCTCTCTCTCTCTCTCTCTTTCTCTCTCTCTCTCTCTCTCTCTCTCTCTCTCTTGACCAATGACAGAAAGCCGTAGATCGGCCAAACGTTGGCTCCCGTGTAACGTCTGGCTGTCTTATATACGGGCACTAGCCTCCCCGATGAGATCTAGGTGTTCCGTTATTTTTTCACGCGATTTACGACTTGGCGGAATCGACGCGTCGACATCTCTTACAGATGAGGGTCAAATGGGAATGCAGAGACGCGACAGGGAAAACAACGACTTCCCGTGTCGTTGACTAACGCGCATCGGAACGTTATTCGTTTATCGTGTGAGCGGGGTGACGGCACGCGCGTTGCGATGTATATACGGAGTTCTCGGAGGTGATAATTCGCGGAGTTAATATACCGACGGACGCACTAAATGCGGACGCGCGCGTTGTTTCTTCCTCGGGGAGAAACGCGCGAGCAAATTAAGAGCCCGTACATCGGCTAACGCACGAATTAGTGGAGGAGCGAGTGTCTCTCCGTGTCTCATATAACATCTACATATATACGCCGTACGTATGTATCCAACGTATCCCCGGAGGTTTCTTAAATCAATTTTGATTGACTTACATGGCGCTCACGCGCTTGCCGCGCGACGCATCGCGTATCCTAAGCTAACAACCGACGACGATAAATTGCTCACAGAGCGAAAACAAATAATATAAAGTAACGAGTCGCGGCCGTGGCGACGTGGTTTCTTCACGTGTACTCTTGCACATTCGACTTGCCCGCCGAGTCGAAGCCCGCACATTTTATGATTCTTTTAAAAGCTTTAACTCAGACGATGATTATCAACGAAGCATCCATCAAAAAAACGCCACAACAAACGTCCGTCCGTCAAGCCGTATTACGAAAAAGAGAGAAAAATACATCTCGATTCTTTGTCTATATAAACGTTATGGTACAATTACACGAACGGAGTTCAGGCTGAAGCGACGTCCGGTCTTTGGGACCGTCACGTTCGGAGTCCGATATCCCGCGGTGTCCTCTTGATTCCTCTCTTCCTTCTCTCTCTCTCTCTCTCTCTTTCTCCCGGAGCTCGAAAGCTGATTAGCACGTCGCCTTCCACGGCGAAGTACGCTCCTGACGAGGCCGTTGGCCGCTGAAGCCGCCCGAGAATCGTCCTCGTCGCGACGCGGAAGACTCCGTCCTTGTCCATCCATCCATTCAGCGATGATCGGTTACACACTCAGCTCTCCCGGACGAGCGTTTCCCGCGCGACAGTCGCCAACTCGCCAGGCGTATTTACACGATCGAGAACGAACTCGCTCGGCGAGCGAGTTCACGTGTTGCTGTTATCGTGCACGTGCGTGTGTGCGTGCGCCGAATTGGCGAGAGGTGAGTGCGGCAGATGCGGCGGCGGCGGCAGCTCGATGAGGGTGACGTCGAATACGGCCGTGGCAGGTGGATCTCCCGGGTCACTGGGGTCGCCCGGCGAGCCCGGATTGTTCGGGTTGCGGTCCGCGCTCGGGTCCGGGTTGATCCGCGAGTGGCTCACCTCCAGCAGAAACATGTCCTCGTCGACGTAGTACCGGATCATGTCGTCATCAATTTTCGCTGTAATTCTGCAACAGAATAGACGAGACGTTTCTCGTTAAATCACTTCGCGTCTTTGGACGATTCGGCGAGCGGAAACCGCGGCGGCGACATTTCGCGTTCGTTCCGTAGGACGCGATCGAATTTCGAATTGCAAATGCATGCAATGAGACCGCTCGGGCCGCTGTAACATGTGATGCTCGACCAGCAGCGAGCTGTCGCGCGCGATCTCCCTCACGATTTCCCGCATGATTGGCGAAACTTCGCGACGCCGTTGCGGACATCGCGATGAATCCTAATGCAACGGCGTCGCGAAACCCTAAAACCCGCGTCATATGTTACATGGAAAACGATTAGTACCCATTCAAGACTCATATTCTCATTTCTAAGCAAGAATGTGTAATTTTAAATGAAGATAAAACTTGCTACCGTGAAGAAATTTTATATAATTCCATTAAAAATATTATATTCTCGTTATTCAGATATAATTTTCATAAGTTGACAAGAAACAATATTGAATAGAAAGAACGATAAGACAAAGAATTGCATCAGTTTGAAAATATCGTTCTTTCTATACAATATATTTTTCCCCCTCAACTCATGAAAATTATTTTTGGATAACAAATATATATATATTTTTTTTGTTATTTATAAATATATATATATATATATTTGTTATTCAAGAATAATTATATATATATAATTTCTATATATAAACCAGATTTATCTTCATATAAAATTTATATATTTTTGCTTATGCAGGGTGTTTCATAATATGTGAGCATAATTTCAAGACACAAAAATAACACAAAAAGTTCATATAAACATTTATTCTATTTGACTTTGTTTCCAAAATATAAATATTCTCATATTTCACTTATTTTTGTTGAGTTTGTTAACTTCATTAAATTATCAAACTCGAATCCACCGAATTTTTATGTGTAGGATTGCTTAAAATTTGATTTACAATGTAATGGTAGACAACATTGACATACTCCACCAGCGTATTGAAGAAAAGTGTTAGCGAATCAGAACAACATCCATATATTCAAACATATTAGAACATCAATGATAAAACGTTTAAAACCTCGTTTTTAAGCCTACAGTATGGTCACTTTGAGCACTTCCTTTCAAAACAGAAACGTTTGAAGACGCTACACTAGCTCAGTTTGTAACGAGTCAGTGAAACGAATTAGTGAAACACGAAAACGTCTGCAACTCGGAAACAAGGTAAAAGAAGTATTTATTTAAATATTTTATGTTATTTTTGTATCATGAATTCATTTCTGAAATTATGCCCACATGTTATGAAACACTCTGTATATGAGAATGAGTCTTGAATTGATATTCATTTTTTTCCGTACACGTATTGCGGACGCGGATTGGATTCGGATTGCGAACTGCGAATCCCATCTATGTCCGCAATGCGTGGTGTGACACAGGCTTTACGATGCGACGGATTTACTCTCCTCACGGTACATATTAACATCTGCAAAGAGGTCACTGCAAAGTCAATCAAAGGAATATTATATAATAGATTTCTCGTTATCGAGAAGAGATCATCGCAATATCGTAGCGGCGAAACGATAATGTTGCATTGGATCTCTGAGATCTCGTTGGGATTTTTTCGATGGACATAAAAGTGAAACGTAAAGTTCGCACCGCGCTGCGCGTAGCTAGAAAGAATTACGAAGAGAAAGAGAGAAAGAGAGAGGGAGAGAAAGAGGCTGGGCTCGATTTTACGACGTGAGACATATCGAGTAAACGAAGAGAGTAACTGTTCGAGGGAAACGGCCGAGAGGAATCCGCCGTGCGTAACCATCGTGTAAGGCAAACTGAGAGGCAAAACAAAGAGTCACACAACACAGCCGTAAGGGACGCATGATGCGACGTTATGCGAGGCAGGCAAGCGAATGTTCGTGACAGAAGGCAGAAGACAAGAAGTGTAAAGGGATTAGTGGATTAATCGGGCGAGATATGCGGTCGGCGTGCAACGACAACAGGCATGCGCGTTAAGGTTGATGATCGAGAAAGAGAGTGATTTTAACGAGGGCACACGCGCGGTGGTGCATGTTCGAACGCACATCGCGCGGAGTATCCGAAACGTACATTGAAAGAGGCACGATCACAGGCGAGAGGGAGAGAGAGAGAGAGAGAAAGAGAGTGTGTGTGAAAGAGAAAAAGAATAAGAAAGAGAGAGAAAGAGAGAGAGAGAAAGAGAGAGAAAGAGAAACTACCAAACCAGGCGGAGAGAGTCAGGCAATGTCACCGTTATGGCATGCACCACGTACGCGTGCATGCAAGTAAAGATGACACTCTACTAAACTTACCCCTTTGTGTTTTTGCGATAGAGGTTATTAATACTCGAGGATGCAATTTTGTACTTTGACTCAATCTGTAAAATAGAAAAAAGTAGAACATTAGAATTTTGATAGTGGTTTGCGGACCGTCGTTCGTTTCGCTCTCACATACGAGAAAGTAACGCGAGACACGCGCGTAGGTAGACGCAATTTACCGCGAGGAATGACAGAGAGAAAGAGAGAAGAGAAAGAAAGAAACGAAGAGGAGGGAACAAAGATGGAGCGAAATATGCAAATAGACGAAAGATAAGTAAAAGATAAAATAGCGAAAAAAAAAGAAATAAAAATATTCATGACACGCAGCCGTCATCGCAAAAACGCGTAGACAGCTTAGAGTCAATCAGCACGACAAAATACGCGATCGAGAGAGGAGCGGGAGATAACGTTCACGGAATGTTGGAGTTGGAGAAGAGAAGGCAGACAGAAGAAGAAGGGTAAGAAGAGAGATAGATTGAAGGAGAGATAAAGAGAGAAGGTGTTTCTTTCCACTTTTTTCTTCCGCCGGTTTTGATCGGTATAACGCGCTCTTACGTCAACGTTCGACAAGTCGTTACGAGCCGTCGACAGTCTCGCATACATCCGCGAGGAGGGAGGGGTAATGATCGTACGTCTTGCACTTTCGATATTATATTAATGAGGATCTTGGGCAGTGGACAGTGATGCATGCGCATTAATATTAATTAGCGAGTGGACCAGTGCGAACGGGTATTAATATTGGCGCAGTATGCTTTCACATGCATGGGTAATATACTCTCGTGGGGCTATGCATACATGTATATGCATGTATATGCATATATATGTAAATAAATAAATAAATATGTTTATTTGTAACATGTATATACAGCATGTCCCAGTTCTCGCGCGATACATTTTACCGAGATGTTATTCGAGCGATTTAGAGTCAATTTTTCCTCAGCGAAAAAGTTGAGGGAGATCATTATTTATGGCAACTTTTCAATCTTCAACATATCTTTGTGTATTTGTGTGTGTGTATAAATAAATCTCAAATTAAAATTCTATTAAATCAAAGTTCGTTTAAAATTAATCGGAGGAACGAATTTTGTCGTTCGAAGCTTAGTTCGCGGAAAGCTCCACTTCTTCAGTCACTCGTATTTCGGAAATTATTGTCTCGACGTCTCCGTTGAAGAAAAATTAATTTTAAATTGTTTGAAGAACCTCTCAAAATTAATGTCATACAATAACTGAGACACCCTGTGTGTGTGTGCGTATATATATATATATATCTCTCTCTCCAACGTCATTTCCGCGCACATCGTCGGCGATCGAGCGCGATTCAACAGGCGGGAGAGACCGTGCCTTAGCGCCGATTGAAATCGAAACGGACAGTTAGTTACCTTCCGGCGTGAGACTTGATTAAGCGTGGAAGTGTTTACCTGCAGCTAGCGGCTACAGGAAGCGTATCGATCGGCAGCGATAGGCGCGTTCTATTATTACCGTCGGTCGTGTTCTGTTTCTAGAGCAAGCCTCGAGCCAAGCCGAGCAGCTACGTAATCGCGGATTAACCCATTAACGCCCACGGTTGCGTTTTGCATGGAAAAGTTACAGCCACCTCGTGCGCGCGGCACGTACGTATGGTTATCGGTCGCGGCACGGAAATTTCGCGACGGGAATTTCCATTTTCCCATTTCCATCTCCGCGCGACATACGAACGAGCTCGTTATACGGGAATGTTATTTTACCTGCTCCGTCAGAGAACCGGCGCGACAAGTGTTAACGTTTAGCCGAGGCACAAAGTAGTCGAAAGTGTGTATCCCTCCCGGCGCGCGCGCTCTCGCAGTGCACATATCTACGATATTTATACTTGTCCCGGCGTTAGTTACATTATCTCGAACGCGAGATTCTCAGCAAACATCGATCATTTTCTCCATTCACCGCGGGCGTCGACAGCTCACAACACTGTCGCATCGCGAGAACGGGGCCGTCGGTTCCGTTCGACATCCTATCTCAAAGACAACCCCGAGAGCGACGTAGGCGCAAGAGCGCATCGCGCTAATTGCCTCGTGCATCCGCGAGGATATCAAAAGCGATCGATCGCGAACGTGTGTTGTCGCGATTGCCGATGCGCGTTGGTGATTAAAGAGAGATCCTTAGGGTGTTTCTTACAGCATCGAGCAGCCCTTGGACCGTCGGCGGCGTGACGTGCAGCGGCGTGAAAACGTTCTCCGACTCCTGGCGCACGTACAGCATCACGCGCTCCTCGGTGTCCGCGGGACGCAGGTGCGCCGGCTGCTGTTGCAGGTGAAGACGATTGCTGACGCTGGACACGACCGCACCCGTGAGACCGGCCTGTTGCACTCCCTGCAGCACCGAGCCTTGCAGCTCCTGCACCTGCATCAGCAACGAGTCCTTCTTGTCGTGCAGACTACTGAGATTGTCGGGCGGAAAGTGGTTGTGGAACTTGAGGGCCGGCAAACTGGGTCTGCCGCATGCCGGATAGGGGCTGCTACCCCCCGCTTTCAATCCTCCACCTTCACCGTTACTGAGGGACGAGGTGTCGGTGTCACCCCCGCCCCCGCCGCCGCCACCACCGTAGAAGCCCGACAACTCCATCGTCGAGAACTGTCGTGGAAGAAGAACAAGGTTTTATTTCAACTGCGCGCCTTCTCGCTCTCTCTCTCTGGTCGCGATGACGACAAGCCGAGCCGCGGTCCTCTCGAATTTTGCGTTGGGAAATTGAAAGCTAATATACAGTGGCAAATATGCATATTTTTGCACTAATCTACAGGGAAAATGCAAAGTGTCGAAACACGTCTTTAGAAACGTCTCTACGCAGAGAAAAATATTATATATATTGTGAAGAAAAGCAATTATTCAGTTCTTATTTATTTTTCTCCTTTTAAATAATGGTTATCTTGAATAAAGAATATAATTTCTTGATATAATATTAAAATATATTCATCAAAAATATTAAAAAAGCTCATTATTATTTACTCAAGAGAAGAATTTGCTCTTTTCAAGAATATTATAAATTTTATCGAAGAAAAAAGTTAAATTCGATTAATTGCGATAAATAATCTTGCTAGGATTGAGAATGTAATATAATTTTTTTAATAAATTTGATATGCTTACATGATAAAAAGTGTCTTGCTAAATTTAATATATTTCATAAGTATTAACGGTCCACACAAATTTTTATGTCAATTTAACACAATGCAAATATATTGGAAAGTAACATAAATATGTTCAAAATTAACACAAAATTGTTATCCATGATATGTTAATCAACACTGAAGTATAAAATGTGTTATTTTAACACTTACAAGTGTTGAATATCGACTCAATACGAAATATTGAGATAATATAAATATAATATGTTAAATAAACGTACACGAGTATGTTAAAAATTTAACACAAAAATTTTAACAGGGACTGATTTTAACAAGTATAAAATGTTTTTTACTGTGTATAATGAATTTATACTTGCGGATATATATGTTTCAGGTATTTCATAAGTTTATATATCCACAAAAATATCATAAATTCGTTATAAGCATCAAATTTATTCAAAATATATTCTCAACTCCAATAAATTTAATACTTCAATCAAGAATTTTACATTAAAACACTAAAATTAAAACTTCGGTTTATTTATTCTAATTAACCGAATTGAATTTTTCTTCAATAAAGTTTATAATATTTTTGAGAAGAGAACAAATCCTTCTTTCAAATGAATGATAATAAGCCTTTCTAATATTTTTGATGAATATATTTTAATAATATTATCAAAAAGAAAGATATGCTTCTTTTAAAATAACCATTACTTAAAAGAAGAAAAGTAAATTGAGTAATTTTTCTTCTTCGTAGTACTAGTAATATTTTTTAGTGTATAGAAACGGCCGGCAATAAGAGGAGGGACTTGAAAATAGGGAAAGCGATTTTGTTTCTGCGATAAAATACTAATATAAAATGTTACATCATTAGTCATTGCAAGGAATAACAATTACGACGTTATATAGTTCACGATTCTACGAGTCATTGCAGAACAAAAGTGACAGGATAAAAGGTGAAACACTGCTGTTCGATCTGATAGACGCAAAATTCGAAAGGCTCGAGAGGAAAGTCCACGTCGTTATTTTGCGATGTGAGAGTTGCGGTTAGTGCAGAGTTTTGACGGAGGTTGGAGCAGAGGATTGTGGATGTAGTTCCATGTTTGCTGGGTCAGTCTTTTTTTTCGCCGATTAGCTGGTTAACGTATGCTGAGATACTTCGACGATGCTTCTCATCCAAGAAAATGAAAAACGAACTTGTCGATACGATAAGCGCAGGTAGATTCGTTACGACGCATTATGCAAGTCAATGCAAGACACCGGCGAAAAAAAATACATTCTTCGCGTAATACCCATCGTAATGAGGAAGTTCTTATTTTATGCGATTAAACCGAGCTCAATATTGCCGTTTAATTAATTAACTGGCCTTTAATCACGCGCTCCTGATCTACGCTTCCGTGAGAGCCCGGCTGGTTCTTAGGGACGACACTCCGAGGCGCGCTTCGAGTTGCGTATGAAAAAAGTGGATGATTACCTTGTCGATGGCGTGCTCGGCTGGCGGCGAGAACAGCACCGGCGGTTTGTGAAGATCGGCCATGGAGTAAAACTCGCTGCGCTCCGTGACGGAGTGATAAAGCTCGTCGAGCTTTTTTCTGCCGGTTGCCGACATCTTCCTCTTGGCAGCGCGTCTCTCCTCGTCGCGGGTCTTCCTCTCCGCTCCCTGGCGAGCAACGTCATCTCTCAACTTAATTTCACCGATCGCATTGAGACCAGGAAGCGATCGCGTTATTTATAATAGAAGGGCGATCGTGAGACAAAAAAGAAATAAAGAGAGAGAGAGAGAGAGAGAGAGAGAGAGAGAGATAGTGAAAGAGCAAAAGAAAGAAAGAGATAAGCGTATGGTAATGAACGAGAGAGCGGGTTACCTTATCGCAGAAGACCTTAATTTGACAGTAGCCACGATGGGAAGGTGGTGTGTAATTGTGCGTGTGAGGCGGCGGCTCCTCGTACGTGTCGATTTGAATATGCAGCGGCAAACCTTTCACGCCCTTCTGACTCGAGAAATCGGTGCTGAGGCACTGCACCGCCACGTTTATCTGCGCAGAAATCGGACAGGTACAGCGGCGACGTGCGGGAATTGCTTTATTAAATGTACCCGCGCGCTAAATGGTACGGTTCGGTCGAGTGGCCGCGCGCGCACGCACGCGTGCACGCTGGCGACCGGGCGGTACAATTTGCACGGGGATCGCACGAGATCACGCGGCGATAATCGGCGCTATATCCCGAAGAGGTGGTGGGGTAGTGGCGTATCGCCGAGGAGGTAACGTGAATCGACATTTCCGGCGTTCTTACCTACCTTCGCCGACGATTCGTGTGGGTTCCAGTAAACGGCAATCGCATTGTGCGCGACTTCCTCTATGCAGCCTGTCAGGCCGACGCTGTTCTTTGTGTCTGTAACAACGGACGTGACTCTGAAACTTGCGGATCGCGCCGGGGTACATGAAGCAGCCAGAGAGTGGCTGCTACTACTCGGCTTTAGATAGAATATGAAAATAACGGACCGAGTATACGGTCTCGCGATACGATCTTACCGTCGATCCTTCCGTTACGGATTAAGCAGCTTGCGTAGAGAAAAAAAAAGAAAACAGAAGAGAATATGAGAGAGTTGGAGATTTAATCGATTTAATCGGTCGTATTTTCAGCGAGAATTGTTGCGAATTGTACATTGTGCACGCGAAGTGAATGAAGAAATTTGCTGTTGCTTTGCCCGAACGCGATCGAATCCCTTATTAACGCTTACCAGCGTCGAGAATCCGTTGCTTAACGGAGTGCTGTCTGCCATGCCAAAACTGCCAGGCTTTGATTTCGTCCTCCGGGCTCTTCTCCTCGCGAAACATCAGCATTACCACACTCTGCGTAAAACCAACAATTCATCATCAGTCACGTGACAGGCTAATGGGTAATTAGTTGTTCCATTTGTCGTTATTTGCGAATTACTCCGACCCACTAGCTATTGCAACGAATTCTTTGCAGAGATAGAGATTGAGAGCTAGGTAGATCAATATTTTAGTTTATTTTAGCTCGAAGGCTTCGTTCTCTAAAAGCGTGTAAGGAAAAATAAAATACACGCAGCGAACTTTCTTCGAAGATATAAACATGAATGAACTGAAAAAGTACCATAATAGTTCGGTTAACGGGATGCTATATTTGAAAATTTTACTGACAGAATATTGAATTTTTTCTGCAAAATTTACGTCTCATTGGTTACATAGAATTACAAATGTATTCTACGTAGCGAGAGTGACAATGAATTGGAGCATTATTCAATATATGATGAAAACGATTAAAAATTTCAGAACTGAAATCTCGACCTGTCAAATAAACGTTTACCTAAAATAAAAATTTTTCAACTTGTATATATTGAATAAGTGTATTTTTGCTACAGTGGAAAATTTCGAAGAACATTTCTTTACAATTGTACATAAAAGCTTAAAAAGTTTGCAGACAACATTTTATATATCTTTGTTAAATTTTATATATCTCGTTATCAAACAGAGTAGTGCACGTTCATCTTGTTCACATTTATATCGTATTAACATTTACGTAAGATTTATATGAATAAGGAATATAACAGGACAGCATGATCGTGTCAGTATTTATATAACATAACATTTCGAGGACTGCTTTTACGTTATCGACGCTTATCAAGTTCGTTAACAGCTAGAGCATCTTCTTAAGATATACTTATAACGTCGAAACAATTTCAAGGCAATATGGGAAATTTAAAAAGCAACGTTAACGACACGATTACAATAGTGCATCAGTGATGCACTGGTGATGGACGTCCCACGTCCCATCTAATGCCGACACTAACATATATATAACATCCGTGTAGCCAAGCGAAGTTCTATGAAATTCACGTGACTTCGGAAAATGAAGTAAGTCGACTCGGTCAAGCGATATTTAAGACGTGAAAAAGTGATCTTCACATGGTTAAGTACAGTTAGCGAGTTCGAGACGGCGATCAGGATGCATATAGGATATCTCTTACACACATTGTGTTTTTCGCACACCTCTCTTTGATAGGTATGATGTCTTTTTTGCAAACACGATGTCTCTCACAGAGACATAATATTTTCCACTTGTCTCTGTTTTTGTTAACACATTGTTGACCGGTCACGAGTTAACTCGTGTCTTCCTGCTCAAACGTTGCTGACCGGCCACGAGTAAACTCGTGATCGATGCAAGATACATTTGCGCGATCGAAACAAGATTCATTTGCAAAACCTGTTGTGTACCATTACACGTAGATGATTGCTACACCGTTTATCATACCAAAAAGAAATATTAAACGTTAAATATTAAATAAAATTTATTGAAGTTTATTTATATTGTTTCACTTCCACATCCAATTACGAAATAATAGCCGATGACATGAGATAAATTTTAAGTAAAATTGCCGGTCAACAATGTGTTAAAAAAGTACTAGGAACTTTGGTTTAAAATTGACTTTTAAATAAAAATGTTATGATAATTATTAAAAAACAATTTTTTTAATAATACCTAAAATGCATCCTATTTTACAATTTTTTAAAAATTCGTAAAAATTTATTTTCAAGTAAAAAAGTTATGATAATTATTAAAAAACATAATTTGTTTTCAATAATACCTAAAATGCGTCCTATTTTACAATTTCTGAAAGTTTTACAAACATTGCTTCATCAATAAAAATGTAATGACGATTTTAGTAACGTGCAAGTTTGCCCAAAAACGTGCGGTCCCAGGCGTATGTCTTACAGATTTCTTAGCGATTCGCGATGTGTTAAATATTATGTGTAATTACTGTCTATTATTCATTAAATATAATTATAATTACTATATTATAAAGAGGGAAAGGGAGTACGGAAGCAGACATAGCTTAAAGCGATATACCCATGTATTTTAGATGCTGACGCTCGCGAACGGCATCGTGTAGAATGAGACAACGGCAGAGTCTCTCCGCGTAGAAGAACGATCATTAAATGTCTAAAGTGCGATCGCTGTCTCGAGTTCCCTAACTGTACTGAACCGTGCGAAGCTCACTTTTTCGCACCTTGAATATCGCTCGGCCGACCCGATTCACTTCACTTTCCGAAGCCACGTGAGTTTCACAGAGTTTCGCTTGGCAACACGGATATGTTATGCATATGTTAGTGCCGGCGTTCAGGTGTCAGGTGGAACGTGGAACGTCTCTCACCGGTGCATCACTATTGTGCGTAGCTGCTTGAAAACAATCCGTGATCTATGCCATAAACACAACGAATATCTCGTCCTTTTGCTCTTCTCATATACGCAGATACACAGTAGCACTATACGTTACACAATAGTTACTAGAGATAAACCCAAGATAAACTTTTTTTCCATACTAGCATTAGAAACAATGCGCAACCCAAGCTGCAGTATCGAAAATGTATGTATCAGTGTGAGACATTTTTTATCTTTCTGAGATATTTTCTAATACGTATGGTAAATTTACATATAATAATTTATATATAATCAGATTAAGAATATAGCTGATCAAACTATTCGTTTATTGCTGTCTGTATATAAATTTTCCCTTCAGAGCATGAATATATCCTAGTCGCGCAATATAAGTCTAGTAAATTATGCTGCTCCCAAGTATCCCAACTAGTAAGGAGACTTTACATGGCATTTTAACGATATCTTATTGATGTTAGAGACATTAAGACGTCATTAAGGCGTTGTTAAGATGTTATTTGACGTCACTTTGCTACTTGAGATATCATATTATTCAACCAAAAATTTCTGAGCGTACGTACAGAGAACTTTTTGGCAGTATGAAAGTAGAGATAAAAAAAATGAAAATAAAAATAAAAACGCGATATAAAGACAGAAGTATAAACGAAAACGAAGATAAAAAATAGACATACAAACATAAAAATGCATATAATTATACAGTGGGAGAGAGAGAAAGAGAGAGAGTATGTGTGTGTGTATGTGTGTAAGAGAAAAAGAGAGAGAAAGAGAGAGAGAGACCCCGGTCGCATTCGCGCCGGAGAGTTCTCGCATACCCGTGAGACTGAATCCGGTGTAAGTTCCGTGTCTACAAAGTTACCTTTTGCGCTTCCGTTCACTTCAGCTCGGCGATATCGCCGTTCCACTGTGCAACGATACACGAGACGCATATCGCCCGCGACAGACGCACGCTCGAGCGGGCACACGCGGGCGTACGCGTTTCGCCGCGAGCAGCGAGCGAACGAGCGCCGAGACGGAGGAAGGATTTTTCGTGATTCGGGTGAATGGACGAAGAACTGCACGACGTACCGGAGGAAATATGGGTGTGCGATAGGGTGGGGAAGGAGAAACATATAGAGAGAGAGAGAGACGTGAATAAGAGGCTCGCGTTACGCGGTTACACTTACGCGAGAAGCCCGATCTCCCTCGGGCTCGGCCGCGAGAGACGCGAATATACCGTTCGAATCGCCACACGCCCCGACGCTCGATTAGCAATTAACGAGGAAGTCGTAACTCGTCGCGCGCGGCCGGCGGAAAAAGAATCGCCATCTTTATCAGAATGGAAATTGCTAACGGTGCGCGCGCCGCGGCTGCCAATTAGAGCCGCGAGAACAAACGACCTCGTCAGACCTCTTCTTTCGACACGCGCGCGCGTCCTCCCCGTCGCATCCGTGTCATCATCGTCTCCGCGAGTTCTGCCCGAGTGGTCCGAAAGTCGCGGAGAACGCGCGAAAGCGGAAGGTGTACATCGCGAAACTCGAGACGCCGGACCGACAGTCGTCCGCGAGGACACGACGTCGCGCGCCGTAGATGGTAGATCGGCGGCGGACGATGCCGCGAATGCGAAGTGAATTTACGGAGGTCTCGCAAGCGTGGGAGATGCGCATCTTTTCATCGCGAACGTACGGAGCGGGTGTCCTCTCGGCGCATCTCGACCCGAAAGTTATACCCCGCGTCGCGCGGACGATGTATCCGCGTTACTGTAAATTCCACAGCGAGTGAAGCTCATCTCGTTGTGAATCGAGTTTAAGGGGATGTTAAAGCCGGTGACGAACTTGGTATCGATAACGCGGAGGTGACCATTAAAATGCTATCGCTGAAAGAAAAATATAATTATTTTCGGGGACAATATCCTTGCTTCATTTTAACCACAAAAATGGCCGACTATGTTTCTAACAAGTGTCACTACAGTGTCAGTGATAATAACCTTACGTGCATGTTGCAATTACTGTTCCTGTGGCTAAAATAAAAAAGGATATTGTTGTCCTCGAAACTTATTTTCCTCTTAGTGATTTTACATTAACACTGATACGATCACGCTGCTCTTTTTGTATTGTTCATATATATAGATGATCTTGCATAAATATATACGGAGAAAATATTGTAATAAAAATTACTAGAAAATTTTGTAATGTCGAACCATACCGGAGTTATAACTGAAATTATGATGTGTATTATAATTTTTAATGATATGCTTCATTGTATACATCATTAATAATTATAACACATATAATAAACGCAATATAAATTAGACCCGATGAATTTACTTTATTTTGTTTTATCGTATCTAACAGAAAATCCAACCACGATATCTGAAATGGAATATAAGAATAAATTATTTATTTTCCGGTTAAAATATTTACGTCAACTAACTGTACGGTTAAAAATTGTGTGTTAAATTTAACATATTTTACATATCCCAAACGGTCTACTCAAATTTTTGTGCTAATTTAACACAAAGTGAATATATTGAAAATTAACATAAA